TGGGACCCTCAGCAGTGCAGCTTGTGGCTGGCAGGAGAGGCCCCCACAGGGCTCCAGGATCCCCAAGGAGAGGCTGCAGCCAGCAGAAGAGGCTCCCCAGCTCCAGGAAGGATCTGAGCAGAGACCTGAGAGGTTCCCAGCTCTGCTTCCAGCTCCTCCAGTCAGAGGCCAAGCAGCTCTATATGAGGCTGGGGCTCTGGGAAGGTCAAGACCCCTGGCAGGCTGGAGTAGTGCCACCAGTGGTGGCTATGTAGCAGCATTCCTGCCTACCATGTGAGGGATATGGGTTCAAGCCCTAGCTGGGGTGAGTGAGATAACAAGAAACAAATCTTCTTGCAGTGGAAAGGGGCCATTGTGTTTTCTCCCCCTTCAGGTACCGAGGCCCCATGTTTCCTTGTCATTTGACATCTTGCATTTTGTGCCCTTTGTATATTTCACCAACCCATACTGTTTGTTCTGTTGTTTGTATCTTATATTTTGTTAACCCTGTTTCTGTCAATGATTTTAAGTGTCTAACCTCTGTTGAATCCTGCCCCCTTGGGGCATTGTAGTGTCCACTATACCCTCTGATTTATGTCTGTTACATTCCCAGTATTAAAAGGTATATGGTTAAGTCCCCATTGGTGATCTGGCTCTGCTCTAGAGGGGAGGAGAGTCCCTACACCTCCCACAGCACTTGTGCACCTGCTTTGATCCCTTGAATTGGAGAGGGGGTACCTCTTGGAGTACTGCCCAGGTTACAGTAGCATATTAGCACGGGTTTTGCCTGGCATGCTTCTGTGCAGTATTATTAAGCTACTGCACAGTTAGTGTCTCATGTAGACTCACCCTGTATGTATTTGTGGCTGCCCCATATAAGTCCTAGACCTCTGGTGCCATGCTAGTGCCAAGAAAATAAGGCCCTTGGGTGTGTGAATTTGCTTAGTTGTCCCTTTTTAAGTTAGGAAAACACTTTTTTAGCCCAGGGTGTCAAAGATAAGGTCCATGGGCCAAATCAGGCCCACAAAGCTGTTACAACTGGCTTGGAAGAATGCTAGAGGGGTCAGGAATGTTGGAGGCGAGCCGGGACTGGGGCCAGGCTTGCCTTGGAACCCTTAGGTATTGATCCCAGTTAGTGATGCATATTGGCAGTGGCAGGACAGGGGGAGGAGGAGGGAGGGCATGAGCAATGGCTGCATTAGCCCCTGAACCACTGTTCACCCCATCAGTGCCACTGATCATCCTGCTGCTGATGCTGGCTAGCAAAGACCTCATGATTTGGATCCAGCCTGCGAGCAGGGTCAGTTAAGTTTGACACCCCTGTTTCAAACTAAACAATTTACTTTACCAGAGAGGTTAGTACCACTGTGTTTTGAAATGGAGCCTATTTAAAAAATCACAAATGTCCCTCACAAATAAAGTCACAGACCAGCAATACCATGAAAGGCTATTCCTTGGAAAACAGACTTGCTCATTGCAAAATAATTTCATGATGGCTGGACAGTCTCAGCATATGGCTGAGCCCATCATTATTAGCCCAATTAAAACTCCTTTTTTTACATCAGGAGAGCAACTGATGTGCTAATAATATGCTGCCTCTTGTTCAGTGCTACTGCAACATCTGAAGCTGGTGTATGCATGGTCATATAATCAATATGGCTTACTAAAAGGTTTCTAAGTGAGTTAACACTTCCAGGAATAGGTTGGATTTCAGAGCTACTTTATTTATTTACAAAATGCCAGCATTTGTGCTTTTGTTTCTTTTCTTTGTGGAGGTAATCAGTAGGGCTGTGGAAAGCTTCAGCC